AACTAAACGGCAAAACAGCTCGATATGTCAAACTTTACGTTTCCTAATCATTTCAGAACTAACACTAAAGGATCTTTCTGTTTTTTGCACATAAAAGTTTTTATAAATAAAATGACTTTATTTTCATCCAGTCGTTTCATACCAACAGGAACCGGAGCACATGCCTTTAAAAGCAGGAAGAGGCTTCTCCTTGTCTGTGAACTGAACCGTTCACAAAGCAGCTTAAGGATTTCCAGATCAATACGAGGCTGTGATACTCTGCTCTCTTACCAGTCAGGGAGATTATGGCGGGAACGAGTGGGTATTGATTATTGAAACTCGCCTCCTGCCACAGCACGAGACAAACAAGTGAGGAAACCTGAACAGTCGCTGTGGTGACCAACTGAGGCCCGCAGAGTCAGAGCAGCTCTCTGTAACTGTAACTGACTCATGATGCTAACTGATGCTAACTGATGCTAACTGATGCTAACTGATGCTAGCTGATGCTAACTGATGCTAACTGATGCTAACCTCAATCTGCTTTTTTAAATGTTACAGTAGCAGCATGAGATTCTTGGCGATGACGGGTTCCCCCCCGACAGGAAGTGTCACGCCCAACGACACGCTGATGACGTCCTTGGAGGAAGGAAATATCGTTACACTCACTTCCTGTTCTCTCACTCTAGAAATACAAGTGGGTGGTATTTGTAGAGTTCCTGATGCTGTGGTTGATAAAATAAGACAAAAAAAAGAACCATGAAGGACTTTTTTCATTTCTGCTGAGTGACGATGAAATCTTGAAACGTAAACTCTGAACATCCCTCTTCAGCCTGGCTTTGAATTAAAGATAGTTTTAGTCGTTTTAAGTCATTAATCACTTTATTTTATTAATTTATTCTATTGTATCTATGTTGTAAATTACTTTTAATTCTATTTTATCTCGTATTTTATTATTAATAAGTTTTGTTTGCTAATGTTATTGTAGCTTTTTTAATGTTTCATTGAATCGTCTGTGAAGCTCTTTAAACCTGTGTGAAAAGTGCTGAACAAATAAAGTTTGATTGATTGATTGATTGATTGATAATGTTGTTTATAAGAGGTTAAAATAATATAGTTTCAAGGATTCAGTATAATAAACTAACCTGGTTCAAGCAAATCTTTCATCCTTACTGGTACAAAAATAAATGTCTGTTAGACTCAGTGTGATTTTAATTTGTTATGAATCTAATCAGGATGAACTGATTAGATTTTGTTGGTCAAAGGTCAAAGGTCAAAGGTCAAAGTCATGGTGACCTCACAAAACATGATTTTGGACTTGTGAACACAATATCTCTGTGACGCTTTGAGGGAACTTCTTCTAATTTGCTACAAACATTCACTAGGTCTCAAGGACAAACTCATTAGACTTTAGTGGCTAAAGGTCAAAGGTTAAATATAATAATACAAATATATATAAATATAATATTCTATATTATATTATATTTTATAATATAATAATATAAAGGTCAATATCTCCATAACGCCTTGACAGAACTTCTTTAAATTTTGCATAATTATACATTTGGACTCAAGGACGAACTGATTACACTTTGGTAGTTAAAGGTCAAAGGTCAAGATCAGTGTGACCTCAGAAAACACTTTTTAGCACGCAGAAATTATGACAAAATTTCACACAAATGGTTGATATTTTCTCTGACTCTGGATGAACAGGATGTAACCTGGAACTAGTCCGTGTGGCGGAGGGATACGACCACGAGGAGCTGGTTCTAGCTTGAAGTTCCTTTCTTATTCTTCTGCATCTTTAGAGGAAACGTGACAGAAGTTGAAAGAGAAATGAAAAGTGTTTTTTTCAGTCAGTAGAAGTGTCGGATCTGTGTTGTGTTTCCTCTGCTCCCTTTGATTACACAGGATGTGAATGTGACGATATGACTCATCACCATCCACTCAGTGTGTGTGTGTGTGTGTGTGTGCGTGTGCGTGTGCAGACATAACACGGATCTGTGTCAACATTCCCTGCTTGTTCTCATCCTGTCAGACATGCTGCGCTCTAATGGTGAAAGTCATTATATGACTCAGTGAGATTCTGGCTGGTCTGGTTCCTGGTTCTCCTCCTGAGTCCAGACCGTGAGCCAGACCGGCAGGATCACCGGGAACAAGCAACTACGACTTCAAGACCTGAACAGTCCCGTCCATAACCCTGGAGTTCCTAGGTCTTCTACCAGGACGTGCATTTGCATGTATGTGATTGGCTGACACAGTGTCACGTGACGCTGGTGAGACAGGTTTTCTCCAAACGACTAAATCCATCTGTGAGTTTGAAGATTCATCAAACAGGAGTGCTGCCATGGCAACAGTCAGGTCACCGTCCGTCTCCACGACTTCAGGATAAACGGTTAAAATGTTAAAATTAAAGTTTCATACAAGAAGATCAGAGTTCAGGCTTCGTCTCTGTGTGTTTGTATTTACACCAATTACACTTACAGCAACAGACACTCAGTGTTTCATCTGTTTATTCATCGTGTTTCATCTCCTCTGCTCCGACTCCAGCTTTCACACTCTCTTTATAAAAACACACGTCCATGTTTGTTCGAAAACATATATGAATGTTTACTTCAATCGTATTTCTGCCTATTATATAGTATAAGGTATAATATAATACTATAATAATAATATAATATATATTTTTTGCTTTATTTTTTTTTTTCCTGATGAAATAAATAAATCAAACGCTCACAGATTCCCAGCTGCTGCAGGTTGCGTTCAGGTGCAGTTTACTGAAGGACAGACTCACAGATGTGTAATCCTCCTCCTGTGTTTTCATAGATGGATTTGAGAGAGTCTGGGTTATTATTATTATTATTATCATTATTATTATTATTATTTTGTATGTTTTCTTGGTGAAGCTTTAATGATGGGAGGCAGGAGGAGAAAAGGCTGAATTAGTCTAATGGGGAAAACGCAGCCATTTCTGAGTCTCTGAGTAACGTGGGCTCCCTATTAAGTGCTTTTAACACACATTCGCCGGCCTCTCCACGCTCTGTGTTTTGATGATGTTAACGAGTAGTCACGCATGATTACATATACGCGGGTCTTGGGAGTGTGTGTGTGTGTGTGTGTGTGTGTGTGTGTGTGGGGGGGGCAGCTGATGAGCAAAGAAAGGCTTTAAAAGGAACACTTGTCTCCTCGGCTCGTCTGCACAAATCACACACTGGTGAAGTTTTCCAGCGTAATGAGACGAATCACGTCACTGTAATCATGTTTAATCTCATTTCTCTCTCTGTCTCCCTTCAGCTCAGCTCGTTTGATGATTCTGCATTTAGCATCGGCTTGATTAGATCACCTCACTCCTTACACTCAAACAGCCACATATGCCCATTAAAGTGCTGATTACACGAACGCACCGCGCCGCTCACAGATCATCGGTTTTCCCTCCGAAGAAGAAGCTTAAGATAAATGTCAGAGGATTAGACAGCGATATAAAATCTACGGATGAAACTATACATCACTTTACGTATTTAAATAGTCGAGAGAAATGTTGATTTTTAAATCAAGTTCATTTATAAAGATCATTTAAAACAAGCAGAGTGTTGCTGTCTGTGATGTTTGAGCTGTCCCACAGTGGCAGACAGACGGGGAACAGTTTGAAATAAAAACACAAGAGATAAAAGTGAAAGATAAAAACCTCAGAGACACTGAAGGAGAAAACGTGGGTTTTAAGTTTAAAGTTTCTTCTGTCTGTCCAGGTCGTCACGGTGGAGACGAGGTCGTGAGGCTCAGCTCCTGGAAGCTGCTCGACGTCCTCAAGGACCAAATGATTATATGATTATAAATGTTTATGATCTATAATGTTGTCCCCACATCTACTTCCTGTCTGTCCTGGGGGAGGGGTCTCCCCTCAGGTCTGATTCAGGGTCAGAGGCCGGTTCAGGTCGGAAAGATCATTTATGATATCGGTCCTTATATAATTATATTTCAGTATTTGTTTAAATTCTTCATATTTTATTTATTGTGCAAGAAATATGAAAAATTAGTAAAGTTCATTTACTGATGCAAAAATTAGCTGCTTATATTTACTTACTATTTTATATTATATATTTAGATACTTACTTCATGTTCCTCTGATTCATTCCTGTGGGAAATATTGAGTTTATTAACAGCTGCAGGTAGAAGATACTGTCCAGATGTAATTTTACATATAAATTTTAAATTAAATTAAAATACTCAACAGTTAAAATTAGCTTTAAATCAACCAGGTACATTAATTACCTCTTAAATGCAAATGGTTCAGTAACAATGAACCAATAATATAATACAACACTCACCATGTGTAATTATATCTGCTGCTATTTGTGTTGTATTTAATATTTAATTGTACATATTGTTTTATTACCTATTATTTAATGCGAATCACCCCAGTGTGGGATTAATAAATATCATCTGATTTTATTTAATCTTATTTTTGACACTTTTAAGAAGATTTTGTTGTTTATATTTTTATTTTAATAAGATTTCAAAGGCAGAACTTTCTCCTGTGACACATTATTTTCATCATGTGGTAAAAGATTTGAATTCTGGGCCGTAAAGAAACACGAGGGTGAAGGAGAAAATCACTGCAAGAAAAAGAAAACTTCAATGAAAGTGGAACATTTAATTTTATAGAAACAGATTTTACAGAAACTTGTAGTGAAGGTAAAACATGTCATCATCATCATCATCATCATCCTCATCATCCCACCTGAGTTCACAGCACATAATTACTACAAAATAAAGGTCCGTGTTTGAGGATGATGAAGTAAATGAAGATCCTCGGTGTGAACGGAGATCAGACCTTAACGACCTTCATGTAACGTCGTGTCACGCCACATGAGCAGCTGATTGGAGACGGGGGCTGGCTGGGTCATGTGGTGACAGTGGGTATGTGTGTGTGTGTGTGTGGGGGGGGCAGTTGCCTGAGGCAGGTGTAACTGCTATGAGATGAAGTGTGACAGTGTTTTGGAGACAGATGTGAAAGGAAAGCAGCATCTTACATTTTACAGTCGTGTTTATAGAAACATCAGCCGCCATGTTGTTGTTTATTCTATTTCATGTTTCCTCGTGTCCAGGTTGTTAGTTACCTGTTGGTTTGTGTCTGGACCTCGACAGCCTGTTCACCACCTTCCTCCTCGGCTTGTTCACCTGCTCTGCCTCCTCACCTGACTTCTGTCCGCAGGTTTCTTCTTCACGTCCCTGTGACAGCTCTGCGCTCTCCTTCCTGACTGACAGAGCACTCTGTCCCTGATCGCCAGAGGTTTGCCCCTGGGCCTGCTCGCAGATAAGGAGTTCCTCTGACAGCAGAGGAGAGCTCTCTGCCCCCAAAACTGCCCTGGGAGGTGACTCTGACTTTGTCTCTGTCTCTGGGCCTCCTTCGTCTCCTTCGTCTCCTTCGTCTCCTTCGTCTCCTTCGTCCCCTTCGTCCCCTTCGTCTCCATCGTTTCCTTTGCCACCTTCCTCTCCTGCATCTTCTTCGTCTTCTTCGCCCTCGAAAAGTTCTGGAGTATAAAAGACAGTCTGGTCCTCCTCTTCCTCCTTGTCTGGTTTCTCTTCCTGTTCGCAGATGGGAGGGGTCGTTACCGTAGACGGCGTGTCGCGTGGCTCCGCTTTGATTTCACCGGACGTGTCTGCGGCGCCGTCTTGAAGACACGCGAGCGCCTCGGCGTTCGTCTTCTTCTGGCGCTCAGACTGAGTCGGAGCTTCTTCCAGGTGCTTCCCTGCATCAGCGGGTGTCTTTCCTCTGAAGACGGCCTTCTTGAAGCAGCTGCTGACGGGGGTGGAGGTGAAGATGTGGTAGAGAGGCCGAGCCGGTCTCTGCTGATGCGAGGGCGACTCTGCTGGCGAGCTGCTCTTCAACCAATCTGCATCAAGGAAAGAAAATTCAGTGATTCTGACATTAAAATCTTTTCATTTATTTAAACATTCATAATAAAAACAAGGAAAAACTAGAACCACCTCCTCGCGGTCGTATCCCTCCGCCACTCAGACTAGTTCCAGGTCACTTCCTGTTTAACCAGAGTCTTCAATAATGTCTAAAAAAGTGTTTTGTGAGGTCACCGTGACCTTTGACCTTTGACTCCCAAAATCTAATCAGTTCATCCTCGAGTCCCAGCAAACGTTTGTGCCACGAACTGAAACAAAATGGCTGAACGGGATGGGGGCTTTGGGGTGTGTGTGTGTGTGTGTGTGTGTGTGTGTGTGTGTGTGTGTGTGTGTGTGTGTGTGTGTGTGCGATCAGGGACAAGGACACTGGGCCTGAGGTCCAGAGTCCAGCACCATCATCCCTCAAACGCCCCAGGGCAGAGTGGGCAGAGCAAAGCTATGTGCCGCTAACATCTTAGCTCATGAGCAACGACATCTGTAACAACACAAATCCACATCATCAACATTAACAACTTTACATTTAAACAAAGCTGAAACAACAAAAACCCTCTGACACGTGCGACTCAATGAAACGGCAGCGATCTGATGAGAGTTTACAGAGAAAACTTCTGAACCTTAAACTCGTATAAAACTGACAAAGACACCAGAGTAAACGTTCTGTAAATGCGGCCTTACGCTCAATATAACCCAAACAAAGGTCAAGGGGATTTAATTAAAAGCAACAGTCCAACATCTGCTCATCAGCTCGCTCCAACGCCACTCAGGCATGCAAAAGACCTTACAGTAATGAGGCAAGCCACTCAACTGATCCCATGGCTCCCACCCCCAACCATGAGGGAGGGGGGGAGGGGCGGGTCCTACCACACTTATCCACCACACCGAATTCAACTGAGCAAACGGCTCAACCTTGTCGTGACCCCCGCAGACAATGGGCGCTCACCAAGACGATGTGCAAACACGTCATCTCGCCACATCTTCCTCTGGCGGTGATGTCATCCTCGGGACAAAAACAACACGCACCTTCCGACCGCCGCCGCCGTTTTTTAAAAAAAGCTGCGGCGTTTTAAAAATGTTATAATTCGTCATTAAGAGGAAAAAAAAAGAAAAAGGAATTTGACTCAGTCGGCAGCAGCAGAGTGAAGCTAATGGATCAAACGCTTTGTATTCATCACTGGGTCAGTTCCTAAAGACGAACACGACATTTTATTATCTTCATTATTAAACTGAACAAAAACTGACATAATGAAGTTGTTTTTCTTTCCTTGGTAACGTACCTGAGCTACAGATCTCATATACAGTAAATATATATAGAAACACATAGAGGATACATGCAGGTTTTTTGAATTGTTGATATAAGAAAAGATCCTGTTTTTCTTTGATATAAAACCTTCACAAATGTTTTTCCAACAGAGCGCAGGAACACAAGGTTACTGATGTTTCTAGAGCTTCACATTAAAAGCTCTGGTAGTTTGATGGGTGCAGACCAGTTTCCAGGAACCAAAATATAAAAGTCTCTGTTTCTGGGGGACTGTAAAACACTCGAGACATTTCAACCTTGCAGCTCTGAAACTCTGTTTTTCTCACCCGCTTTTCCATTTTGTTCAGTTTTCATGTGCAGATGAGAAACGCGTCGGGTGGGGGAGGGGCTCGTGTGCTGCTGGGGTTCAGGCGCTTTGACAGGAGGTGTCTGAGGGTGCGAGGCCGGACCCCGTCCCTCCGCCGTTACAGGCAGGTCACCGTTCGGAGAGGAGGCCGTGGAGTCGGGAGTCTGGCGTTCTGCAGCCGCCGCCGCCGCCGCTTTCTGCTGCACCTGAGTGAACGCCACCAGGGACTGCATGGCGTTGTTGAAGGTGTCGTGATGCTGGACGAGCTGGCGAACCCATTTAGACAAACCTGAGGTCATACACACACACACACACACACACACACACACACACACACACACACACACACACACACCACTCAGAGACAGACACTGCTGCAGGTCTTCTAGTGGATAACTACTGCCATCTAGTGTTGGTGCTGAGCGGCTGCGCAGTGACTCCTACCTGTGATGTACTTGTTGGGGTTGTTCCTGTAACGGTCGTCCACCAGAATCAGAGCCCCCCAGTCGTTCCTGTGGCGGATACACCTGTAGAGTGGAGCGTGAGGGTTCAAGTACGGAGTGAGAGCACAGGTGTGAATCCTCAGCGACTCAGACTCACCTCCCCAGCGCCTGGTTCAGAGCTCTGTAGGCCTGGATCTCGTACCAGCGGTTGCCCGGGAGGAGACCTCTGGACCTGCAGTGCTGGTCGTTGTACTTCATCTTCAGCTCCACCTGAAACCACGGAGCCAAAGTTCAAAGATATTTCAGAGAGTTATGGAACATTTACAACAGATTCTTTATGCATCAATAACAAAGCAAATGTAAAGAAAAACTCTCACTCTTGTCTGCGACAGATAGAACTGATGAGTATCGTTCTGATCAATGAAGCTCTGATTATTATAATTAACTGACGACTCATTTTGTCAAAGATATTGAAAAATGCTCATCACAAGTTCCCGGACCAGAAGCTCCAGCAGCTTCTTTCATCTGTTGCTCCAAAACACAGAGATTTGATTTAATTTAATTTACGACGATATAAAACAGAGAAAAGCAGGAAATCTTCACACTGGAGCTTTAAACATTTTTAAACTCATTCATTCTTAAATTATTACAATAAATCATCAAATTCAGCTCTTTCTTGCACCAAATGTAATTTGATGATAAACTCATCCTTCTGTTTCCTGTTCATCTATCAGGCTCAGAGACAACGTGAGAACAGCAGCTCAAATCAGGGAGCCACACCGGGATCATCGGGTCGGGACGCAGATGGAAAGAGGTTTATTCTCAAATAATCGTCTCAGACACGAAGGAGAGAAAACACACACACGTTCTTGCTGCTTCTGAACGACACTAATAAAGATTAAAGATTAAATCCAACACAACAAACCAAAGTCGTCTCATTATGTGCGTCTTAAAGAAACAAGGATGAAGAAAGTTCCCAGAGACAAATTATAAGAAGTGAAGTGTAAAAAACGACTCTGACCAACTCCAACCGCCTCCTCTCCTCGTGGTCGTATCCCTCCTCCACTCGGACTACTTCCCGAGAAAATATGAACCACCTGTGTGAGGTCTTGAGTAATGGCTAACAAATGTTTTGTGAGGTCACAGTGACCTTTGACCTTTGACTGTTCAGTTTCTTCCTTGAGCCAAAGTGACATCAGACATCAAGTGTCACTGAGACAAGCTGAAAACAAAATGGCTGCTGCTCTGACCGTCGCCGGGCGGAGGAATAAAAACTGCCGCTCCACGTGAACTGTCCAGGTGAACTCCATCAGGTAAACGAGAGGCGGGAAGAGTGAAAACAAGAGCCAATCAGTGACAAGGAAAGGAAGTGAGGAAGGTGAAGAAAGGAAATGAAAGACAACAGGATGTTCACTACATCGTGCTTAAGAATGATTCACTATCAGGAAGAAGGAGGAAACTGTCCGACTTCCTCTGTCCTGTAACCAAAGTCAAAAAGCTCAGAAACGACAGGAAACACATTTTCAAAAAAAGTTGCTACCGACCACAAAACATCAAAACAAGCGTCTGTGAAAAACCTCCAGCGCTGTGTGGCATCACATGCGGGGGGAGGGCTTCGTGCATGGAGAACTAATTGGATTAATATGGGATATGAAGGGGCACACGGAGCGGGTGAGGGATCCAGGGCACACCAAACAAATAGGACTCAGGGCCTGAAGTGGTGAAGTATTACCTAGATGTGTTCTGAAGGGGGAACAAAGGGGCTAAAGAGAGGCCATGACAGAGTGGAGGTGGGGGTGGGGGGGCAGACCAGGTGGTCTATGCGACATGAGGCATCCCTGCACAAAAATGCCAGGAAAGCATCCATCCATTTGCATCCGTCATTGCTGATTTTAGCGCTAACCTTTCAGAATTGACAAGTGAAAAGTTCAGCTGGCGTCTGACGGGATGCCATGCAGAGCGGGCTGCCGGACGGCGCTCTAACTGCTTTTGACAGGTACCGTGTGTTCGCCCTGAGCCACCAAACACGGGGGCCGTGGCAGGTACAGCCTGTTCCCTCACGCGCATCACGCAATGCCGCTGTGGCCCGTCTGGACCCGTGTACGTAAACAAACAAGCAGACTCACAGGAAAGCCTAAATGTCGCCTCAAACTTTGGACGATGACTAATCACACCTCACCGACGCAGCGGCCCGCAAACAGCCGAGCAACACCTCAACGCCGACCCGGGAACAGGCCTATGGTTTGTATAATGTGGAGACGCCACGTCACGGCAGCTCTCGTAAATGCTGCCGGATTCGTGGTGAGATGTTTGCCAACGCATGAGACACCGGAGCAGTTAAAGAATCCACTTCTAAACCCACAGCAGGGACAGAAAGGCCAGTAGCCTTAAGTCAGCGGTGTCATCTAAATCCAATCACAGTCCGTTTCAGCGTTTGAGCCGCCACGTCCCCGGCCTGCACCATGTCACCGTCCAATCTGACTTGACAGGTTGCATATGTGAAAAAGCCAATTCTGGCTGCTAGCAAATCTCGCAAATGTGCAAGAAACCACAAGCTAGAAGGGATTAGTTAAAATGTCAAGAGATCACTCGCCTGCTTTGGCCTCGTCCTCCACCGCTACCTGTTCATCCCTAAAAACATATATTTGACCAGGAGCCATGATTCGCAGCTGAGCGAATCTGTTCGAGCTACATTTTACACAGGCCATGTGTGTGTGTGTGTGTGTGTGTGTGTGTGTGTGTGTGCATCAGTGTCAGTGTGCACGCCCCTGGCAGTCCGGGACATCTTGTGTCTGTCACTGAGATTGCTGAGCGCCTCATCTGCCACATGGGGCTGAGGTGACAGCTGAGTGGCTCGTCTTCAAGACAGTGTCCCTGTGTGTGTGTGTGTGTGTGTGTGTGTGTGTGTGTGTGTGTGTGTGTGTGTGTTTGTGTGTGTCTGCATACACACTCACAAGGGCATGAGACTATCACACTCCTTTCCAACATGGTCATGGATTAGAAACACACTGATTCTTTAATAGTTGCTGCAGAAGCAGAAACATGTATTTTGCTTCTGCTGTTTAATATTTGTTTATTTTGTGTGTGTGTGTGTGTGTGTGTGTGTGTGTTGTTTCACATTATTTACACATCCCTCCTCCACTCCGATCGTTCCAGGTCACATCCCTGTTTATCCAGAGTCATAGAAAATTTGAACCATTTGTGTGAAATCTCGTCATAATTTCTTTGTGAAGTTTTGACTAATGGCTAAAAAGTGTTTTGTGACGTCACCGTGACCTTTGACCTTTAGCCACCAAATTCTAATCAGTGCATCCTTGAGTCCAGGGCAAATGTTTGTGCCACATTTGAAGAAGTTCTGTCGAGGCGTTACGGAGATATCGTGTCCACGGGAACGAGACGGAGCGACGGATGGTAAAAATGAATTTCCTGGTAAATAAAGGGCTGAACCAGCATCAGCGAAGAGGAAGGTCGACTCCGATGTTTCTCTGAAGCCCGTGGTGCTGACGGGGACGGTGCAGGTGGCGATCAGCTATTACAGCATTCCTTCAGTGGCGGATGATGTGTACAGTGTCTCCAGTGAGCGCCTGGAGCATCCATCATCCCGTCTTCCTGATGATCTCCATGAACTCTCCAGCATTCCTCCAGAATCCCCTTCACATGCTGACGGACCTCAGAATTAAAACGCTTCAATAAAGGGCAGCAGCATGAGGCTCCTGAGCCCGTCATTAAACTCGGAAAGATGCCTTATCAGTTGTAAGTGTCTTTTTATTGCCTGTTAAAGCCACTTATTGTCGGACTCACTCACGCAAGGCACGACTGCTCACTGTAAAACATGCCGATGGAAAAACTCCGACGTAAACGTAATACCACCTTTGGCAGGAGGACTTTTCAAGTTCAAACTTTGATCTCGGTCACAATAACACAACAGGCCAGTAAAACGCCGTTCAGGCTGAGGCGGTTAAGAGTTATGCGTGTCTGGGAATGCGGGCCGCGCAGGTATCTCCAGCGCTGGGCCAGTTTAAATAAGAAGGAGCCGGGTTTACGCCTCCCGTCCTCGCAGTGGGGCGCCGCCCTGTGAGTGTGGCACAGACTGAATGAGATAATGTGTCTGGGTCCATGTGTGCCGTGTTAGGAGAATGTGAACACGTTAGCACAGCTGCATGGGAGTGAACATGTGAGAACACGTCACGCATTGGAGCACGTGTGTCCGTGTGGAAACCGTTAGCACGAGACACATGGTGTAAATATGATGAGGCGTTAACACGAAGAATTAACGCAGGTGAAAATGTGTTTAAAGAGAAATAAAACCGACACTGTTAAAATAAGAAGCAACTCTAATGCAACACCTGAAATTTAGACTCCTCCCACTGAAGTCTGAAGAAATGATTACACTTTTATGAAACATAACATCAACCCACAGGGAAAAGAGCAGAGTGGAGCATCAGTGTAAAGGTTTAGATGTTAATTCAAGCTGTTAATAATAATAACTAATAATATATTTACAGTGTTTATATGGTTAATTATTCATTTTATTATTTATGTTCAGTTAACTATTTACATTTTTATGTTTATACAATTATCATTTGCATATTTACAAGTTTAAATATTTACATGTGCATCTTTAAAAACAGTTTTTACATTTTACTAATTTAGCAGATGCTTTTATCGACCAAGTGAAGGTCACCAGCTAAAGTGCAGAGAAAACTTCTGTTGTCATTCGTCATTATATAAAATAAAAACTGACTTGACCTTTGACCCTTGACCACAAAAATCTAATCAGTTCATCATCGAGACCAAACGAACGTTTGTGCCACATTTGAAGAAGTTCCATCGAGGTTTTACTGTGGAGGAATGAGAAAACAGACGGCAACAAGCTGTTTCCATAATGACGTGACAGCGTCGGTCCGCAGGCTGCAGGAGCAGAAACACTTTCCTGGTACAGATCACCAAGACCTCCTGCATCACTACTCAGAAACTAAGAGGGAATTCTTCTTCCTGTGTAACTGACCGTCACATGACCATCCAGCAGTGACCACTACATGTGCCAGTGTCTGAGCGTGTGCATGTGAGCGTGCGCGTGTGAGCGTGCGCATGTGAGCGTGCGCGTGTCCTTGAAGAGCCTGATATCTCTCTGACAGAGTGCTGCAGCAGCATCTGTGCTAGTCTGACATGCTACGAGGGCTAGCCGCATGGCTTTGACAGCCATTAGTATCAGTGTCCCCATTCTCTCAGTGGTGTAATGGGGTTAGCTCAAAGAACTTTACAGGCCCCCGGGGCTTCTCTGGGGCCGAGACCGCCTCAGCCACTGTAAGAGGAGATAAGGAGAGGAAGAGCAGGAGACAACTGGAGAGGAGGAAAAGAAACACTGAGGATTAAGAAGAAGAAAAAAGGAAAATCAAGAAAACGCCGACTAGAATCTCAGATGTTAAAAGATCTGAGTACGTTGAACTCAACAACATAAACTCAAAACTAATCAAATCCAACACACCAGGCCAGAGTAAACGGTAACTGTGGGAGGATTAAACCGGTAGAAACACGGAATAAAGAAGTTTTTAATGGACAAACACAAAACGTGTCGGAGAGGTCTGAGCCGAGCTGTCGCTAACGTTTGCTCGGCTTGTGTCTCTGGTAACTTAAGATCCAGGTGTTGAAGAGGTTTTTACCTGCAGCTGTATTATCTACAGAGGTGTCCTCCTCTCCACAACAAACAGACCAGGGGATTAAAACCAGCAGAAACAGCCAATAAGGAAATTTCACTTTAAAAGTAAGTGGTGAAGGAGCACTACGGTTTGTTTTGTTGTTGAGCTCAAATATCAACAGTCTTTCTCCAAAATCACTGACCAATTAATACATTTTATAAATTAATAAATGAGTTTTTACCAACTGTATCTACATTTAAGTACCAACAGGAAACTTATTTTGTACAAAAACTAATTAAAATCATAGTTGGTGAAATGTCCACAGTATTAGAAGATGTTGTTAAAGATTTCTAAAGAGTTCTATAAAGAAACTTTGGGTTTAGATGAAAATAAATCAGGATATTCAGGGTTAATATCGTTTCATCCTCCAGTGACACAGATTTACTTTGGTTCAGGTATAAGTTAAAGTGTCAGCCGTCACCTACATCACCCTCACCCACCTGATCCTATAGCAGTCACAATTATGACAAGATGTGGGTGGAGATGAACTCCAAGCAAATAAACAACGGCTGTTGATTTGAGCACATAATGTGCGTCTTCATGCTTGGTCAGCTCCACCTCGGCCATAACTAGCTTTGGCTTCCTCATCCCTCCCCCTGTCGCTCTCTTTGTTTATCGGCTTTTAATAGAAGAGCTCTTTTTATCTCTCACGGTGAAACCAAACACGGCAGGAACTCTAACACGACCATCCACCTGTACCTGAACAGCAGCGCTCACACAAACCAGGAAATTAAAAAAATAAATGGGGTAAAACAGAAGAAGCAATGCCCTGGAAGCTGACAGAGGTGAAGCTGACAGCTTTGGCTACACTGACACTGACAGAACAGGTTAGTGAAAGCTTCATCGTGCTCTGACAGGAGGATGTGGAGGAGTAAAGGGGAAGAGAGGTGGGAGGCGGAGGAGGGGAGGGAAGACTCAAACTTAAAGGTCAACTTTATCTGCTAAGGACGGAGCAGACGCAGCAACATCGCTTTGGGATTTTTTTTCACGGATCACCAAAAAGGGATGCTCTTATTTGGTGTGTGTGTGTGTGTGTGTGTGTGTGTGTGTGTGTGTGTGTGTGTGTGTGTGTGTATGTGTGTGTCGATGTCTGTGAGTTATATTATTTGTCTTCACGGTATCCAAAATGTTGGAACTGGGTCAAAATCAATGAAGTAATGGACATCTTACAGGCACTATTACGACATGCAGCTGTGAAATTATGACTTTGGTGACGATGTTATTTTCCCAGTAATATCTTTTATCTGCTAACAGGGAGATGCTGTGGTTTCTTTACCAACTTCTGCTGATGTGTTTGTTTGTTCTTAAAGATTAAATGTTCTTTAACCAACGTAAACAGAGGGGGAGATAATGCGAAGCCCTTAGAGCAGCTGGTGAGTTCCACTGGTTAAGATGCCAAACACAACTGATCTGGGACAGTAAATGATGCATTAGGTAACTCTCCTTTTCCAACAGGAACCACTTCCTGTTTTGGCTTTGATTTTGCAAATTACTTCAATTTAAAATTTCAACAGTCATAAACAAGAAGGAGAAGAAATGCTGAGGATTAAGATGAAGAAGAACGTTCCCTAAACGCCTCACAAGCAGACCATTGGTAGATACCACAATATAAAGTAACGATGTTCCCTCAATGCCTCACATGCAGGCTATCGGCAGTTACTACAAATAAACTATGTTCCCTAAACGCCTCATTAGCAGAGCATTGGTAGAGGTTACAATTTAACAATGTTCCCTAAACGCCTCACATTCAGGTAGACTCTAGCTAGGCGGCTGCGCACAGAGAAGCCAATAATAATAATTGATTTTTTCTGCAAAATCAAACTGTTTCCTCTCAACCCAGAAGCAAATGTTCCATGCCTTCGAATCTTAGCAGTTGCGTACCTGTTTATTCTACTTACCTGGAGGTCTTTGATGTTTGGGAAGGGAATTCCAATGGTGACCACTGCCCTGGCGTTGTCATCTGTGAAGTCTAGTCCTTCACTCACTTTTCCCCTGCACACAGCAATCAGCAGCGCACCGTCTACAACGAAGGAATCACGACGCAGTGAATGACGAGTAACACAGCAGAAATCAGAACAAGATGATGTCGGCTTTGGGGCAGTTAGTTCAGATGCAGTAACACCACTTACATTTCTAGTTACAAATCAGTTAATTTATTAGACTCATGTGACCACTAGACGATCAAATTGACGCATTTCAGCAGAACCAGTAGCTTGGTCCTAAAATCAGAGATGTTGTTTACCGGTCTTACCTCTTTCCTCGCAGTATTTGATGGCGTCGTAATAAGTCTGAAGCAGTTCGTCAAAATCCCCCTTGCCACCACCGCGGGGCTCTGTGATCACGGTCTTCTGTTGTTCCAGCTTCTCCCACAGACCAGTGTTGATCCATCGATCCCGCAGCTTGTCCAGCATCTGATCAAATCACAAGAGGTTTCATGTTGTAAATGCAGATGCTTTCCTCGCTTTTGAAACTGTGGTTGAGAAAGCAGACTGACTGACTGAGGTTATCCTCCCACTGTTCATCTAGCTCTACAATGAGCTTGACATCTTTTGTACTTTAGTGAAATGTCTCAACAGATGGATTGCCATGACGTTTTAGTACCGATCACCTTGGCGCTTGGTAAGACCCAAAACCAGAAAGGCCAGGTTTCAGCTGACAAAACCAGACAAAGAGAAACCAGGAAGTTATTTGGACTAAACCTCTACCGAATGATGGAAGTATCAAGAAAGAAGAAGGAACAGGTCATGATTGAACGCCACCACCTCATCTGTCAAACATGGCGCTGGTTCTGTTATGGTTTGGTGGGCTGCCAGTGGAAGTGTCACACCGGCATTTATTGACGATTTCACTGCTGTTGGAAGCAGCAGGATGAATGTAGAGGTCTACTGGAGCATACTGTGCTCAGATTCAGCCAAACGCATCAAACCATCAAACCTCATTGGGCGACATTTCATCATTCAGCAGGACATCGACCCTAAACATACGGCCAAAGCAGCCAAAGAGCTTTTCAGGGTGAAGAGGTGGAATGTTTTTGACTGGCTGAGTCAGTCACCTGATCTCAACCCAATTGAGCTGCATTCCACTTTCTGAAGAGCGGAGTAAAAGGCAGAGACTCCACAACACGCAAGAACTGAGAGTGGCTGCAGGGAAAGACCTGGGAGAGCATCACCGGGGAAGATACAGAGCGTTTGCTATGGGTCAAAGACTTCAGGCAGTCATTGACTACAAAAGGAATTGCTTTTGAATCTACAAACTTTGGATGGGATGTGTTAAAAAAGGACTATATCTTCCACCACTCACATTAAAGCTGAGAGTTGGTACTGTAATGTAGCATCCACCATTTTAATTTCAAATTAAATGTGTTGAATCGCAGAGTGTGAAAGACCAAAAAGTATTCAACGGTGCAAATCCTCCTGGTCCTGGACTGTACTTCCTGTCACGCAACACTGTAGGTCAAGTAGGCAACTGTAAGACGTGGCACTGTAACACATTACAGACACTTTTACAAGTCTGAAACAAAAAGCTTGCAGGAAGCATTTAGCCAACCATGTTTGCTCCTGTGTCCTCAAACAGCACGGATTTCTGTTCTTTACTTGCACTTAGAGAGCTGATGTGTTTAAACCCCCTCTGTAATAAAATCACTGTTGCTGTGCTATTGTTAGTACAAAAAGTCAGTGGCTCTCAGGGGAGGCACATTGATCTAAAAGCCCTCATTCTAACATAGCCCCACTCATGTCTGTGCTGTGCAGATTATATCCTTGAATAAGCATGGCCTCGAAATCAAAGAGCAGCTTCACTGGCTTGGAAATGTGTTAGAAGGGTCAAGTAGAAGTTCTTCTTGTAGTCAACAGAAAACTTCTCAACGGGGTAACAGTGTCAAGCTGTAAAGTCTGAACCAGATGCAGATGGGGCCATAAAATAAATGGCAGGAAGGTCGGGAATATTCACTGGTACCTTGTCTCACCTGCACGAAAAGCCAACAGCTCAAGTGTTTCTCAAAACACCGGTCAAAGCTGAACAGAAACAGCAAAGTCAGACGAGGAGACGAGACAGTAAGAGAGTGTTGATAGTTTCTTGCATGCCAGTGTGATGGCATCATAGTGGTGAAATGAAGCATGGGAAAGATTTAATCAGGTTGGTGCGTCCTAAAGCAAGTGGGGCCAGGACACTTGCATCAATAAAACATAGCACATTCACTAAATATGCAGTGTTACATCGACAAGGACCCCCTCGAATTCAGCAAACTGTTTGTCCTGCAATTGCTTTTCAGTGCAATCTTGAGCAGGAGATGAATAATTCATGTTATGTACTTAAGGCAGATCTACCACTAAACAAAACAGCCATTATCTGCCAGGCTGCACTTGGAGAGGAGCCGATTCCACGAGGAGAAGAGCACTGAGGAAAAGTGCTCTCACAGATAAAACTGACGCAGAGTCAGTAAAGACAGAACCACGGGTTGTGTCTCTAATCTTGTCTGAAGAACCTTAATCGACAGTACTAGAGGTATCTAATGTTGTTAATCACTGGCAGAAAATGTTACTACATGTATATTTATCATTTAATAAGAGGAAAAACCTTTTTTAAAGCTGAGGTGAATCGAGTGAGGACTGAACACGTTCGACAAATGCAGTCATAAAGAAAAATCTGGGATTATTAAAGACCAAATGTTATTTGTGAAAATTGTTGTGATGATCAGAGATGTGACTATCATTTTCCAGTAATTTATGATGACTGACAGCTCGTGCACAAGACCAAGACCATCCTTAGGGGGCAGCAGTCTGCCAACATACAACGTAAACATGATATCCACTCTTGGATGTCAATATCTACCGTTATCTTCCTGTCTGGAACGCTGCATGTTGGGGGTTTACTGAGTCCGTACAGCAGCATTCTCTTCACCTGAAGTCACCACGAATGCAAAGTCTTCCCCTCCCTCCACCCAAGTGTCCAGGACGTCGTTGCTCTTTGGCTTAAGGTGCTTTGGGACAAACAAAGTGGACAGTCTATGACTAGCACAGATATAGAATACAAGGCATCACTTGGGTTCAGATCTGACAGGCCGCTGCTCCCCATCACATCAGGTTTGTTTTTTTTGGCATAAGTCCTGCTGCAGGACATTGAGTACTCAGTGGTGCCCTCTCCTGCACCACATCCAGAGACCCCAGGTAGGCCAGATACTCAGCAAACTGTCAATGCATCAGCACAAAGACCCATCTGAACCTTCCTACCCGTGACACACAGTTGAATAGGACTCGGCAACCTCAGCCTCTCAGTTATTCCACCATCAAGGCGGCCGTTTGCCACAGATGCAGTTCTAAAGGAGTCTTTGAAGCACTCTTAGTCTGATCCTGCACCAGTTCACCTCAGGACACCTCAGCAAGAGACGTGGTTCACGACAACTCTGCTTCAAAGCCCAGGTGGAGACACAAACTCCTCCACCATAAACTGGAAAATCTCAAAGGTAATCCCTCCACCTTTAAGATGCAAAAAATATTCTCCGTTCATCCAACCAGGAAGCTGCTTCCCACTTCTCCACGTCTGATGCTGCTGTGCTGCCGTAGTCCACTGAAGACAAAGTGTGACTGAAGTGGTTCATGAGAGATGACGTTCTGTACAACATTGAATTATCTGGTGATGATCATGTGCTCGATTGTCACCAGTCTCTCTTTCACTGCACACCTGCCAAATTAACCTCTCATATCAAATCAACATTAATACCAATCTCCTACAGGAGATGTATGAACAGTGTAGAAGCTGGTTCAAACCGGTTTTGACCCACTCATATTGGACTATGTTGGGAGGAAGGTTGCAGACTCAGGTCGGCCCAACCATCAACAAAGGATTAAACTCAGTGTCTGAGAAGAGAATGACGGAGTCTAGAAACACTGGTTTCAAACGTGAAGATGGGGGAACAGTGCACAATGTAAAGCAACGCAAAGTCAACACACTAAATAATACGTATTTTTATATCTGGTTTAGTATTAGTAGTAATTTTGGTGGTTGGTGATTTTGCCTCACTTTCCAGGTGTTTGTGCTTCATGCCACGTACATCACGGGACTGGTGCGATAAATGAAACTGGGTGGATGTAGGTGTGTAGCGGAGCGTGTGACTGTGCAGTCAAACGGATCTTTAGCACCTTCAGCAAAGGCTTTCAACCATGTGAGTGTTAGACGCTCAACAAAGAAATTACAGACAGAAAAATTACAGACACAAGCAGCTTCGTGAATAATTTAAGGACAACATCTGATAGAGAGTTTAGCTGCCAGACTGAGCTGAGCTATAAAATGTCAATCTACAGCCTCAACCACACACCTCAATAAAACAGCAAAGGCATGAAAACAGACGACAGCAAATATTTAAAGAGAAACAACATGAAAACAAGTATGGCAGCTTCTGCACCCTATTAATTACATTCCACAGCATGTTAGATATGTGCATGCAAAATAAATAAGTTTTATCATAAAGTTCCAATTATGTTCATTAAAAAAGAATAAATTACGCTTTGCTTTATGGCCATTGTATTCTGTAGGATACGTGTCTGAGACTGATGAACGTCACTAACACTTCATTCACTTATCTTTCTGTTTATTTATATATTCTAAGGTGCTTCGCTGATATGTCCTTTTATTCTATGATTATTTTCTTTTAATAAACTCTGGTTATTTACTTTATTTCTTTTATTTCTACTTTTACTCGATAATATCAATATCCAATCTTTCATTTATGGTTTTACTCACTTTAATAAAACCCATCTGTTTTAGTATTTTATTATTTTATCTCTGTCTTTATCTTTGCTCCAGTCTTCAGTGTTTCCTCACTTCCTGTTATTGTTGTCTTATTTTTATAGTTTTTATTTCTTGGAGCTCTGTGTGTAAATGGGTTTGACTGTGTGTCACACTGTTTGTATGAAAGTGCTATACAAATACAGTCTAACTGATTAATTGATTGATCTCTGAAGATATCATTCTACTCGTCTTCAATCAGAAGTGAATCTCTTTGTTTCCCACCACTGTCAGTCTTTAACAAGAGATCCATTATATAGATCTCATATTAATGGGAATGAGCAGGGTTTAGCACATCGCAGGGCACAACAAAGTGTGAATAATTTATTGTCCTTTCTAGGCACGGTGGGTACAATGCTCAGCCTCTGCTGGTGACACGGTAAAGTGGGCCAGATCTCTCTGCCAATTGGGACAGGGTGGTGAAACAACCAGATCGAGGCAGTGAACTGTAGTCTTTCTCGCACTTTTACACTTTCCCTTTCTTCCACCCACTTACTATCTCCCCATCTTTCACCTCCTCTGCATCCGGCCTCCCTCTCTCTCTCCTTCCCCGTGTCCCCGGTGTCAGTGAGCTGTGTGGCGACACGCTGCAGCTCCTCTAGTGCCTGCTGAATTATGGAAGCGGTTT